CCCTCGACCTGCATGGCTGCCAACGCTGGTCCTATATATGGCCCCTGCTCCACCCCAACCCCCAACCCCCACCCCCATGCCGTACGCATCCTGCCACCCCCAACCCCCAACCCCCACCCCCCCCCACCCACACTTCCGACCCCTACCCCCACCCCCCACGCACCCCGCCTTTCACTGAAACCATGGCTCCTGGCCCGTGGCTTTGCAGCTGACTTTAAAGGGCCCCAGCGCATGCCCGGGCCCTCCGCCCGCTCCGCCCTCCGCCCTTCCAGCTCCGCCCACTCTCCTCTGGCCCATGCTCCCACTCTCCATCCCCTTGACCTACCCCTCATGGACCCAGCTCCCTACCCCTTACCCCTCACGCACCCATTCGACCTGCAGGGCCATGGACCCATGGCTCCTGGCCCCATGTCTCCCCTCCGCCCCTCCCGCCCATCCGCCCTTCCCGCTCCGCATACATTCCCCTTGCCCAAGCCCCCCACGCACCCCGCCATGCTCCACCCCCACCCCACCCCGCGCGCACCCTGCCCCGCCGCCTGTGCTTGTCATGGGCCCGCCCCCCACTGAACCCATGGCTCCTGGCCCCATTGGCTCATGGTCCACCGGCCCATGGGTGTGGCTTCTCAGCTGACTTTAAGGGCCCCAGTGCAAGCCCGGGCCCTCCGCCCGCTCCGCCCTCCCGCCTACCCCCCTCTGGCCCATGCTCCCACTCTCATCCCTCGACCTGCATGGCTGCCAATGCTGGTCCTATATATGGCCCCTGCTCCACCCCAACCCCCAACCCCCACCCCCATACCGTACGCACCCTGCCACGCCCAACCCCCTGCCCCGCCGCCTGTGCTTGTCATGGGCCCGCCCCCCACTGAACCCATGGCTCCTGGCCCCATTGGCTCATGGTCCACGGCCCATGGGTGTGGCTTCTCAGCTGACTTTAAAAGGGCCCCAGTGCAAGCCCGGGCCCTCCGCCCGCTCCGCCCTCCGCCCTTCCAGCTCCGCCTACCCCCCTCTGGCCCATGCTCCCAGTCTCATCCCTCGACCTGCATGGCTGCCAATGCTGGTCCTATATATGGCCCCTGCTCCACCCCAACCCCCAACCCCCACCCCCATTCAAACCGGACGCACCCTGCCACGCCCAACCCCCAACCCCCACCCCCACCCACCCACACTTCCAACCCCTACCCCCTTTCTGGCGGGTCAACAACAGATTGCAGCGATTCGTCACAATCACCACCTTGGCGCCGCCGTCCTGCACGTGCTCGGCCAGGATGCATTTGCAGACAGTGGCTGCAGTGGCAGGTCCAGCATCGGTGCTGCTGGAAGCAGCCGAACCTGAACAGGGAGATGATGACCACCGGCGGCTTCGCCAGGTCTCAGCTTACATGCTGCTTGCTAAGCCTTTACGTGCTCCTACAGTAACAGAGAAGCCTTCCTATGTACTGTACAGCTGATGACCACCGGCGGCTTCACCAGGCCTCAGCTAAAGAGTTTTAATTTCCATTTATTTCCAACAAAAAGCAACGCCTGCTGTGGGTTGACAGCTAGCAGCTAGCACTACGACCGAGACCATCGGCGGCTTCACCAGGTCTCTGTTTACAAGCTCCTACAGTAGAAGAGAAACCTCCCTATGTTAGCTGACGACCACCAGAGGCTTCACTAGGTCTCAGCTTGCATGCTTACGAAGCCTTTACTTGCTCCTACAGTAAAAGACAAAGCTCCCTAGGTACAGCTGATGACCACCGGCGGCTTCACCAGGTCTCACAGCTACAGAGCTTTACATTCCATCTGTTTCCACCAAAAAGCAACGCCTGTTGTGGTTTGGCAGCTAGCACTGAGACCACCGGCGGCTTCACCAGGTGTCAGCTTACATGCTCACTAAGCCTTTACATGCTCCGACTGTAAAACAGAAACCTCCCTATGTTAGCTGATGTCCACCAGAGGCTTCACTAGGTCTGCGCTTACATGCTCGCCAAGTCTGTACAGCTGATGACCACCGGCGGCTTCACCAGGTCTCAGCTAAAGTAAACTTTACTGTCCATTTACTTTCCACCAAAAAGCAACGCCTGCTGTTGGTTAACAGCTAGCACTAAGACCACCGGCGGCTTCACCAGGTCTCAGGCTACCTACATACAGTGCAATGTGCTTTCGTTCCTGCCCGCCTGAAGCTGCCATTAGAGCATTGGGACCAGCCCCTGCCGCAGCAACGTACGGAGCGACGTCCTCCTCCAGCATGCCCCAGATTCCAGCGTTGACGATAGCGACACCAGGTTCCAGCATGCTCTTATCCTGCACAGCCGAAGCCAAGCCATAGCGGCCTCCCAGGTGTCTGTGGGCAGGCACCGCAGCGAACTTTTCATGCACCTTCACCTCGGTCTTTTCGCCCTGCTGGCCCTTCTTCCGCTTCTTTCCTGCAGGCGGTTCTTCTTCCGCAGGGGCCGGAAACTTGGCGTTCAAATCGGACCAGAGGCGGTCGTGCAAGCGCCGGGCAGTCGCGTTGATCCTCCGCCCTCTGTCCATTCCCAACTGCTGGTAAACCCAAGTGTAATCCAGATTTTGGTGCCAGTTTTCGCCCCATGCCTGCTCGGCGGCTTGCAAAATAGGCAGGTACTGGGCGTCGTCCATGGCGAGAACAATGCAAAAAGAAGTGAAACAAACTATGAACTCTGAACACCCGGAACCCTCGTAGGCTGCCAACTTCCCCGACACTTGACCTACATTGGCTGACCGAAAGACTGGTATCTGGCTCACTCACACACATAGGGTCAAGGGAAATTGAGGGTTTAGGGTTTTCAGGGTTCTGAGTTTCGAGGCTTGAGCGTTTGGGCTTTACAGGCCGCGCGTGCATCGGGTAGGGATTATGAACGGTTTCGGGCTTAGGCTTCGGGGTTTTAGTGGGGGTGTAGCCTGGCTTCTTGGAAGTCCGCTGTTCTTGAACCCCCGTCCCCCCCCCCCCGCTTCCAAAATCTGGACGGGGCAAAGCACGCGCTCCCAGGAACCTCGCATAACCCAAGAACTCCCTGCGATCTCGGCCTCGTCTGTCATCTTGCCCACAAACCCCAAACCCTAAACCCTAAATCCTAAACCCTAAACCCTAAACCGTAAACCCTAAACCCTAATCCCTAAACCCTAGCCTAAACCCTAAACCTTGTCCTGAGCCACCCCTAGACCCTAAACCCTAAACCCTAAAGGGTTTTCGGGCTCCAAGGCTTTGCGCGTTTTCGAGGTTTAAGGAAAGTTTAAGGCTTGGATGCTTTACGCCTCAGGGCTTGTGCAAGTGTGGTGTGTCGAGCTCTAGGGCGCCTAAGTGCATTGAACGCGAGTTTTCTCGGTTTACAGGGCCTAGGGCTGTGCTGCATAGTTTCGAGGCCTCTCGAGGACTGTGAGGTTTGGGGCTTTAAATGGGCTGCGGGTTCACGCGCGTTCCAAGACCGCGCACCCAGTAAGCCCCAAGCCCCAGCTGAAGGCTATCCTGCTTGAATGGGAAGCTACCCAAAAACCCTAAGCCCCAAAAACCCCGGACCCCTGGGGGGCCTCTGGGGTGTCTCCCACTGCGCGGGCTTGGCCTTGTCCACAAAGTCGACGGAGTTGGCCTAAGGTGGGGTTTAAGTTTAGGTTTTAGGGTTTCGGGTTTAGGGGTTCAAGATTTTGGGTTAAGTGTACTGATACCCTACATTTAGAGGACTTATAAGGCCATACAACTTGACGCGGCGCACGCACAGCCGCTCCCTACATGCGGCGCACGCACTGCCGCTGATGATAGTCGCACATGGAGTTGGTATCCCACTGAGTCCGCGGCCATTTGTCCACCATGGTCTTGTCCACGCGAAAGACTATATATATATATATATATATATATATATATACGTAATCCGCGGCCGGAGCCCACAGTGCCTTGGCCCCCCTTGGAGGGGGTCGGCGGCACTGGCGGTAGCCATTAAATCGGGCAGCGCGAGGTCCCCAAAGGACCGAGCAAATGCGGACCTTCTAGCCCGGGTCGTCCCGGGAATAGCCTTGCTGGCCTCTGGCCTTCTGCGAAGCAGAATTAGGCCGGACGCCAGTGCCGCCGACCCCCGCGTGCCGCCGGTGAACGGTTTTTTTTTCGTGGTTTTTTTGCGTCGCCACGGAGGCCCCCAGAGGGCGCGCATCATGAGCATCAGCGGGTCCAGCCCGGGACCCCCAGGCGCGCATCAGGAGCATCAGCGGCTCCCGGGGCGGGACCCCGCGGGCGCATCAGGAGCATGATGCCCCCCAAAGGGCGGGCATAAGCGACGTGTCTACTAGGAAAAAGGGAGTTTAGGGGCCTTATAAAGTGCTTAGAAACGTTAAGGGAGTCTAGGAGCCTCAAACGCTTAGAGATTTGAAGGGAGTTTAGGGGCCTCAACATGCTTAGAAACTGCTCGCCCCGGGCTTCTGCGTGCGCTGCCCGCCCATGGGCGCAGCCCCTTAAAATAATACATATAATACATATAATACATATAATACATCGAATGCATCTCATACCTGTAATGCGTATACTCATATAATACACCATGTATGTATATAAGAAACACATCATACATTTGGCGCATTCAATACATGATACATAGAAAAAACATACGGTGCATACAGCACAGATACTGAGAGAACACATATACGACATTTAATACACAAAGAAAGTAGTACTCCTATCTTGGTATATCATCCTGTATTAAATTTATAATATATGGCGTTACTATTTGAACACATCGCGATATTCTATTCCAACGAATCGCGACATGCTGTACAAACATCAGTAAAAAAACACATGCTTGCATGACGGGGTCGAGGATTCATATGCGTTTTGAGGCAATTCCACTGACAGCATTGCGTTCTTGACCGCAGCTTGGACGGCTCAAAATTAGCCCTAAGCCCCTAAGCCCCTAAGCCCCTAAAACCCCTAAACCCCTAAACCCCTAAACCCCTAAACCCCTAAAACCTAAAACCCCTAAACCCCTAAACCCTAGTCTCAAACCTCGGCCCCCAACGGCCGAGAGCTGTTGCGAAGTCCCCCTGGCGATGTCCTTTTGCTGGGCAACATTCAAGTTTGCACATAGGGAAAGCTTCGGGATAAGGCTCCGCACTGCTCACCATGGCTTCTCATAACGCCTCAAGTCTTCAAACTACCCAAAAACCAAACGACGCCTAAAACCTGTAGCGCCGCGTCGCACAGGAAGTGTGGGTACAACGATGTGAGCTCCCGACTTTTCAGGGACATTTAGTGCTTGCAAGTTTTGGAAATGCAAGGTCATCTAAGTGTCAGGGTACCTCCCCCCAACCTTTAACCTTTAAGCCCCCCCGTCGGATCAGCTACGCAGTGTCTTGGACGACATTCATCCCCAAGTTTCAGGAAGGAGCTTTCGCAACAGAGTACGGGCATGTCTGTGGCTTGACAGCGCCCCCCTGGCCTACCCGAAAAGCACAAGCCCAAGTGGGAACAGCAAACCTCCAGGAGAAAGGCTGATATGAGTGCCAAACCTTCTTAAATGAGCGCGGCTTGCGAGGTGTGGCGTTTCAGGTGTGCCCATCTGTTGAAACGTATCGGCACCTTGTGTCTTAACTTGATGCATGAAGGTGTCGCTTGGCAGTTTGTCGAACCATCAGCACATGATGCTCTCAAAACTTGGGGGTGTCGCTTTTTAGGTGCTTCTTGTATTGCAAGGTGTTGGGCTTTCTTGTCCGCCCCCTAACATGAATGTATAGAAGGTTCGGGCGCTAGCTCAATATGCAGCCATGCAAGCCCGAGAAGCAGCTGCAGAACTGTTTTCAAATTCTGTGTTCAGCGAGTCAGGCAGCAGCCCCCGCGCTTCTTGCGCAGGGGCAGGCAGCGACGAAGGACGCTTTGAATTCTGCAACTAGGCAAAAGGTTTCCAGTCATCCACGGAACACTTTCCACATCTTGTAGTCAGATGGCTAAAGACAGCAGCCATCAATGGTGAATCGCAAGGTGCCTTATATGTGCGGAACCCATGGCTAGCGGCGAAGCAACGTAGTACGCTCTGGCTAGAAGTGCCTAAACCTACCTCTCGATGCCTACAAAACTTAGGCCTTTCGTGATGAAATAGGCGACTGGGTGAACACGAAAGTCTGCAAACGGCCGTGCTTAGCGGCCCTGTTGAAACGTTGGGCACACAGTGCCCATGAGAGCCCGGCCCTGGGAAGATCAACTTCGGTGCATCTTTTGGACAGCCCCTAAACCCTAAACCCTAAACCCTAAACCCTAATCCTGCAGCAGCCCTTGGCCCGAGACTAGCCTTAAAACCGCCATTCCGGGCTTCACCAGAAGTCTTCTACGTGTCTGGGCAAGCGCAACCACTGCAAGAAGCTTTAGAGGGGCACTGCCTCCGAAGTCTGAAGAAAGAGAGAGAAAAAAGGTACAAAGCCTCTGGCAGCTGACTTTTATCTGCATGGGCTAGTATACCCTATAACCCCTTAAAAAGGCCCCTTATGGGGTTGGTTGGGGGAATTCTAAGACCTCTAGCAGCTGTAGAGACTCGGGGGGGGGGGGGGGCCCTCAGGGGGGCCCTCAGGATGCCCCCGCCTCCAGGAGCCGGCGCCTTGGTGAAGCACGGCCCTGTCTTACTTAGGGTTTAGGGCTTAGGGTTTAGGGTTTAGGGTTTGGGGTTTAGGGTTTAGGGTGAAGGGTTTAGGGTTTCGGGTTTAGGGTTTGGGGTTTGGGGTTTGGGGTTTGGGGTGTCGGGTTTAGGGTTTAGGGTTTAGGGTTTAGGGCTTAGGGTTTAGGGTTTAGGGTTTAGGGTTTAGGGTTTAGGCGGTTTAGGCGGTTTAGGCGGTTTAGGGTTTGGGGTTTGGGGTTTTGGGTTTTGGGTTTTCAGCCAGGTGGCACGAAGATCGAGTCGCGATCCAACTTCTCGATCTGCTTGATCACCTGACGGAGTTCGTATCGCTGGGATTAGAGCTCGTGCTGCATTGATTCAGGGTTCCGTGGCTGCAGCTCTCTTTCTAGTTCACGCGTTTTTCCAGTCGCGTCCGACCGCTTTCTCAGACATGGTGCTCTGGCGTCAAGTGGGCCTGCTGTTGTAAGCCAGTCGTCCCGAGCCGGGAAACATCACGACATCCAAGAGTATGTAGCGATACAGGGGCAAAAACACCTCGCCACCCTAAACCCTAAAACCCTAAAACCACAAGTAATACACAAATTTCACACAATCCAAGATCCCTGACATCGCTCCGCATGTTGGTCTTGATGACGGCCTGTACTAAACAGCCTTCATGGGGGTTTACGAAAATAAGGGACCCCTAACATAAATCCTCAAGTAGTAGGATTCCCTGATAATAAGGACTCCAGTAAGGTACCCCTAAACCCTAAACCCTAAACCCTAAACCCTAAACCCTAAACCCTAAACCCTAAACCCTAAACCCTAAACCCTAAACCCTAAACCCTAAACCCTAAACCCTAGACCCTACTACTTTCGGAAACCCCCCTTTATGATCTTTATGTCAACAAGCAGTCAGACTCGAAACCTCGAAACCCCAAGCCCTCAAGCCCACACCTTAGACTCATGGCTTGTGCTAGGGTTTAGGGTTTAGGGTTTAGGGTTTAGGGTTTAGGGTTTAGGGTTTAGGGTTTAGGGTTTAGGGTTTAGGGTTTAGGGTTTAGGGTTTAGGGTTTAGGGTTTAGGGTTTAGGGTTTAGGGTTTAGGGTTTAGGTTTTAGGGGTTAGGGTTTAGGGTTTAGGGTTTAGGGTTTAGGGTTTAGGGTTTAGGGTTTAGGGTTTAGGGTTTAGGGTTTAGGGTTTAGGGTTTAGGGTTTAGGGTTTAGGGTTTAGGGTTTAGGGTTTAGGGTACCATACCCCTGCGAGCGTGGCCTTGTTCAAACGCCAATTCCACACCGTCTTGGCTTCCTGCTTGTAGTCAAAAAAGGCTTGGGTGGTGCTTGAGCTCGTAGAGATTGGAAGCTGCTTGGGCCGCTTGGAGGCTTGGACTTTTAGCGTCTGTGCTTCTCCATACTCTCAATAGCAACATGCAAAGACAATACATCTGCTTCCTCTCCTTCCTCTCCTTGTTCCTTGGGGGACTGCCATGTTTCTGAGTCTGTTGGAGACGGGGCCGCCATGGTGCCCATGGGGTTTAGGGTGTAGGGTTTAGGGTTTAGGGTTTAGGGTTTGGGGTTTGGGGTTTGGGGTTTGGGGTTTAGGGTGCTTCCCCTCCTTAACTTGTCTTGCCCTGGTCGAAAAGCTGGCGCTCTGTAACAAACACAGGAGCGGGACTTCGCAAGGTCCTATTGCCAGCACGAGCAGCACATTGAGCGGTGACTAGTGCAAGGACTGGCTCCATCACTCATGCACCCCCCAAAGCACCCTAAACCCTACCCAATCCTTGAATCCCACATCTGAGAACGGATGCCATCATTCCCATACCCTGACTTACCCTGAGGTGCCCTCGTATCTTTGCGCAGCATCATTAAGCTCCACCCCCGCAATACTCTCTGACGCCAGCCTCCGTCTGACGCAACGCGCCTGCGGCTTCATTCGTGTTGGGCAGCACTCGGTGCATTTGGCCGAGTGGGAACGGGTTTACCCGACCAAGGGTCAAGGCTTAAAGGCTTTGGGTTAGTTGTTCCTCCAACTATGCTCATCTTCAACCATAAGGGCACGAGTTCGGTGGTTGCACTGACTCCTCTCGATCAAGCCCGTGTGACGACTGGCAGAGCTGTGTCAGTACAGTACGCGAGTTCTCGATTTTGGTATTCAGGTCATCGGCTAGGGCCGCAATTCCAGGGCTCCAAGCCCATCCTCGGCAAATGTGGGAAACCAGCATCAGGTCTGAAGTCGAGGAGTACAGGGACGTGCACCAGACGGGCCGCAGCAAGAATGACTCCCATGACATCTCAAACAACGTTCAGACTTCACCCACGCCCGCCTGACAGCGATTTTATCTCATCATCGAGCTCCTGTGTTTTGTTCCAGTCTTCCTGTGCAGGGCTCAGAATTGGTCGGATGCCCTGAGAACTCAATCTTACAAGCAAGTAGCTTTCACCTGTCAGAATAAGAAGAAGGCGGGAGCCTTGAACATGAACCTTGTTTACCTTTTCAGTCCCGAATGCACAAGAGAAAGGTGCTTGTTGACCAGGCACAGGTCGTGGAAAAATGATTTGCGCTGGCTATGTTGTTTTTCGTGTTCGTAACTGTCTGTGAAATTTTTGCTGCTGGCCACGGAAGGGGCATGCAGATTCCACAGGTCCTGCGCAGTGCTTTGACACAATTGCGCTGAGGAGAATTGCCAACTCCGTGAGCTCTTCGATGCCACTGTACCATGACTGTATTGGCATCGTGTCGACAAAAAATCATGCTCGCGCTCAGTTTCGTTATGTAGTGGGAAAGACCCCCAAGTGCATGCTCAAACATGCGCGCGTACACGCACATGGACACGCACTCGCGCACACACCCAGCCAAGCCGCCAGAGAGCGCGTGCGTGGCAAACCCATCCACACACATGCTACCCACGCACGCACGCGCTCACGCACACATGCTTTGGCATTGCGCTCATGCTGGCATGGCTGTGAGGTTTTGTGCAAAAGTGTGCCGATGCTTGGAGGGGCACACGATTCGGCTCATAAAATGAATACGGCGAGAACAATGAAAAGATGAGTGCTCAAGGTCGGGATGATTCCCTTCCCTCCCCCCACCCCTGAACATGCAGTGTGAGAGACGAAACACGAAGTAAGGGCCCCCACTTGGGCAAGTAACCGAGCCAACCAGGAACACCGATCCATGAAAAGCTGAACGCGGGAACATCGTGGAAGTTCTTCCATCCGGAGTTTATGGTACAAGTAAGGGCGATACTTGATTGGACTTGAAGGCACTGTGCCGTGGGATGCGTGTGCAAGTCTTGTGGCGACTGAGAAGCCACTAGTGGTTCTGATGAAGAATCGTCAAAGGTTGATTGATAGGACCATCCTTCTCTTCTCAAGGAACGGCTCCATCCAGCTTCTGCCCATGGGCACTAGGGTATGAGGTTCCGTGCTCTATGTCCAACGACGTCACGCGCGCGCGTGGACAAGGCTC